AGCGTCGCGTTCGGTGTTGTTTCGAACATTTTGCACTAGAAACTTTACAGTTTTCTGTGTTGCGATCGTAAAATTTTATAGCATTATATCAGTCAGTTTTTAGGTTTTTTGCAATGCTGGACTGGTATGAAAAATCATTGTACACTAATGTAAAGTCTGTGCGCACTGACCTTGTTCCTTTGGTCTTTTTTTAATGATAGAGACACGATTGGAGTTCACTTGATGCTAGGTGGACCAGCCTATAGAATATAAACGAGATGCGCTGTCGACTTATTTTGGCTTTGGATATTCGGAAATCCACAGACTAAAACCGAAACTTAACTAAACTTCTCGGCTTTTTCATCTGTGGACGGTGGTTCGTGACCCGGACGGAATTTCGATATTTCTACCACTTATTCCATATTTCTAGAAGAAATGATGGATTTATTTTATAATAAGAAAAATTTTGTGCCAGGAGGGAATCGAGCCTACGTCCCGTTGATTTTTAGCCGAATATTCTATCATTACACCAACGAGCCCATCTCAGAAGCGAGGGTTTAAAATGGTGAATGTCAAATTGTGAGATTCAAATTAAAGACCTCCCCATAGAGAGTGAGTAGAAGAGTAGAGTAGAAGTGACATACAAAGAAAAGATAAACGGTTAATTTACTCATTCTTCCCATGGCACTGTAATAAGATTTAACTTAAAATAACCTTATATAGATCGCTTTATTTCGTTTATTGTCTTATTTTATAACAGAAAAGAACAAATATTTATGAATAGTGGTCGTTTAAGCTAGTGTCATAAATAAATTTCTTTGTTTCTTATAAGCTAAGTACTAAAAGTTTATTACGTTAAAAATGTTAATACGTAACAATAATACAATATCATCTTGCTATAGGCTTATTCATCACAGATTATAATATTTGTTCCCGGAATTATTCCTCAAAGAGTTTTCAACAAGATTTCCCGAATATTACGAAGGCAATTTCCTTGTTAATTTTCTGTGACCTCGCTGATAAATGGGGAGGAAAGTTTCTTTACCTAATGAGGGTAATTGAAAAATATTACCACATTCAAGTGCTTACTGTATTCTATTCACTTATTTTAAAACTGTCAGAATAGTTATAATAGACTGGATTGTTTCAAAAACGAGCCTTTGTCATATATTAATACAAAAAAAGAGAATATTAATTTTACAAGTTTAAGTAATACATTTTTTGTTTGAAACCGTTAAAAAAGTCCTAGTATACAATAGTTACATAAATGTGTACTACTGCGTAAAAATTACCTTTAGTCACTATAAAATCTTTATTTTAAAGTATTTTATTAGGGGAAACAATTATTTTAAAATAATTCTTTAATAGGCAAAATTGTTGGGTACGGCTTGCCCCGTTATTATATAATTCTTATTGTAATAACGTAAGTATTAAAAAAACGTAGTTACAAATTACATTGGCTACTTTCCAACATTCAATTTATTTTTAAAGGTACGTATACTAATTCTTACTTCCTCTCTAATCATTTAAATTAAATTTACTACCATTTTGAAGTTTGGAAGATGGCGATGTTATCTCCACCGTGCCTTGGATATCCTAGGTTACGCCGTCGATTCCAGTTATCATCTTCAATTCAGTACGAGAAACCACGAAACCTCATTGAAGCAATATGGTGGGTCCTACGTCAATAGAACAACACCAAGACGATTATATTTTGCAGGTAACGCGTTATTCGAATCCACGCACCGTAAGGACTACAAATGTGTGTTCAAAGAAAAATCTACATGACTGAATATTTATAAGGGTTGCGTAAGCGTAAAGAACTACGCGCCATTAATTCACAACATGTCTTGACAAGCCATTACAAGTATCAGATATTGTAATAATAAATTAAGTTCAGAACTACTGCGAGAAATAAAGTATCGTGGTTAGTTAATCTGAAATTTATAAAAAGCCTTAAGGTTTATATTGTTTATATGAATAGTCATTTCATAACGAGTACATTATATTGTTTTTTTTTTGTAATATGGCTTAGTTAAATCCTGTGTGTAGTTTACGCGAATAGTGTACTTTTTAATAAAGCACTTTAAGTTTAAACCGCGATATATTAGTTAAACTTGTTTGGAAAGGGACGTAGTTAAAATAATCTCCAAATAAGTTTAACTAATATATCTCGTTTTAAACCGTTTAATTGTTTTATTATACGACCTTTTATCACCAATCAACGCGTCAATGGCGTTTTTGAGAGATTCCTTCGTAACATCGTTTAGCTCTAGTTTCTTTTAAAATTCCCTGCTTTTCAAAGTTTCCGAATTGTACCACTGATCTCCAAACATTGGTATGCTAAGGATAGGAAGACCGCCCGAAATAGACTCATCAGTTGTATGCCAACCTCCGTGTGTAATTGATAATTTCACTTTGGGATGTTCTGGAATATAAAAGTATAATCAATATTTACTTCTGTCGATTCTGCGTCATAGTTTTGTTGTTACGAGAATGACGTTCCCTTGATCTGAAGACTCCTTTAGGTATGCTGCGCTAACCTAGTAAGTAGGTAGTAAGTATATTTTAAATCCCATATTTTACGTTAATAGTAATTTAAATAAAACACACTTTAACGGTTTAAAACACGATATATTTCTATTATTATTTTCTTGCTCTATTCTAATTCTATTCTTTAATTAACATTTACTTAGGCAGTATGTCTGCTTGCGGAAACCACGACGACCTAATAATATTACTTGCTTTAATAGGCAAGTGAAAATCGCCCTCCATTTTCCAAAACACAGTGTAAGGAAGCTTCGAGAAAACGTTTAGGAAAACCTCGACTTTTTCTCGAGGCAACATAGACAATGCAACATTTGTGGCAAATGTTACATAGATGGCACCGGCTGTAGCATTCAAGATGTTTCGTAGATTCTGAAACAATACACAATTAAGAGAAGAAGTAAAACAAACATAATTTTAATTACCCAATATTTAAGACTAGCTTTTCCTAGATAATATATTTTTTAATTAAAAGTGGATATTCGATTAATTGAATATCTTAGTTATAAGTGTCCATAAAAATGCTGATGACTTCTCTGAGGGCTTAAATATGCAGTCTCCGTATACCTACAATTTCTGATTTTACATTAATTTTATACAAATACATTGTAATACTATTGTTTTATTTTGGTGTTATTGATCTGTTAAGACACTTGCTGACCTGGCTAATGTTGTGTTCTTCTTTGCAAGATTTATATTGTGTTGATACAAATCTAATAAATAGTTGGTAATAAAGCATTAATTTCCACCAAATGTGATTACTATAAAAAGGATACTTGCAAGTTAATCTTTAAAAATACCGTCGCGAATACTTTCTTCGCTCCTATAAGGTGAAGCGTGATGTTCGAAACTATATAGGCTTCCTTAATAAATAGACTATTTGACACAAACATTTCTCAAATCCAAGCAGTAGTTCTGAGATTATTGCATTCGAAAAAAACAAACCCTTCAGCTTTATACATTACTATAAACTAATGTAAATTGAATAACAACTTATAAAAAAATTGTAAAATAACAATACACCTGTAAATTTTGAAATTCTAAGCTACTTGTAATTAGGTTACAATATCTGCGCTCGTAACCATGTGACGTCACATCATGATAAGTCACCAGTCTACTGGCCCTACTCTAATAGGAAAAGAATTAATAATCAACGTTTAAATAAAACACTTTGACGGTTTAAAACGCGATATATATTCGTTAAACTTATTTTAAAATAATTTTAACTAAACGTCGGGCCGAAGTTTAAATAATTGTGAAATAAATTTAACTAATAGATATCACGTTTTAAACCTTTAATGTGTTTTTTTGAAATGTGTGCTGCTTAGTGAACGTTACAATTGTAAGACTTAATTTTTTAAATCTTTTTGATCTACTTTGACCGAACTGAACAATTTGAAGAAGAGAAAGACAATATTTCTATTTGTCGTACTTTTGCTTATGTAATCAGCTGTGTTTATTTTAAGAGTCCATCTAAGCGTGTTTAAATCAACAAGTATGCGGATTGTAAACGTTTATATAAATTGAATTATTCAGACATAACAATGAATAATTAAAGATGTTTCTGAAATTTTGTATATGAATGAACATAGCTAAAGGTTTTCAAACAAGTAAACTAGCCTTGCAATAAACTGTATAAAAATATACATTTACCTAAATTAAACACTTTTTACGGTTTAAAACACGGAATGTATTATATAACTTATTTTAACTACGGGCCAACTTTTCAGATGATTTGTAGCAGGCATGCTGAAGTTGTTGAAGCATATTATAAATAACTTAAGTGATACATTTTGTATTTTAAACCGTTTAAAAGGTTTTATTTATATGTGTAATGCTCGTGTAAACTACAGACAATACTAAATCTAGCTTTTACATGATACGCAAAGTAGGTCATTAGAAGAACATCACCTTGTTATTCAGTCTGTCAACGGTTTGAGTCCCGCCATTGCAAAAGTTACAACTTTTTTATTCATATCTAATTTCAGTGTTTTATACCTAGTTTAATTGTTCTCGTTTCTCGCGTGGTTACTTATCCCAGCATAAAATACACTTAATGGCACTGCCCTATTTGAATACCAAAGCTTTTTACAATTGAACAAAAATATATCTACATTTCTTCTTAACTCCTTTATCGGTGGTATATCAAGTTTAAGTATATCTTTGAATATATCACTTTGAGTATCATCCAAGTTATCAATCTCTCTGTCAACCATAAACTCAGTGTACAACTCAGATATTTTTTCCAAAATCGAGAGATCATATATCCTTTTGCGGTTTTGTAATGGATATATAACTGGATGATTAAGTGTACCAATAGTATCAAAGGTCAGCCACACACCGCCGAAAGTATTATGCTCAATAATCGGTACCTTAAACACATGAGAGAATATTCACGCAGGTCGCGACATCAGTACAAGTATCACCAAATCGAATTTCTCCTTATTGTAATTGCTCGTAAAAAATACTATTCTTCACCAGCCAGTACGTGTTTTAACTTCGTCGATTCTATTAGTTTTATTCTCGGTGACCTTGAAGAGTTTTTTGAACTTGGAATATGATGTATGGTGCACGTCAATTTCTGTCAGATTGACAGGAGAGCGATCCTTAGGGAAGGCCGGGTCTGTTGTTATAACGGTGACAAGATGACCTCGATTAATCAATTGTGTTACTCTTCGGAATACAAGATTATGACTAACGGATGGAATAGGGTATACCGCCAAAATTCGAGCCGCATCGCCCATACTGAACATTGATATAAAACAAGCTAATATCACCAGCATGTTAACACAACTGGTTGATTACGCTTATATTTCTTAGATACATATTTTTATAAGTACAAGAGATACCTACTATACCTGTGCGCGGATATACCTGTATGAAAATTTTAAGGGAAAAAATTACTGTCTGTTCGAATGTGTGTGTGATTCGAACCGGCATCCATAGCCGGTTACAAAAACGCAACTACTATAAGCCGTCAACTACCGTTTCAATAAATTTGAGTCATCCTTTCAACATTAGGAAAAGGCACTGGACTTAGACCGTTATAAGCCCAGTAGTGGGAAACATTCTCGCAAATATTATTCAACATGTCATAATATTATACACTAAAAAGCATACAATTTCAGCTTTACCTGACCGAATATATATACACCATTACCGTGTCAAATTCTCGTGTGATTATGTTACTTATTCTCCTGATATCAAAGAAAATATAAGAGAAGAATATATAAATATAACTTTGACTTTCAACCTAATGTAGGTCTTGCAAAAAAACGTCAATTTAATATTACATGTGCTATCCACTCCTGCGACTTATTACTAGCTGACTCAGCGACGCGTAGAATAGTTATTTTGGGTATCATTTTTTGTTTTTGCAAGCCTCCTGTACAACTCTATAAACTTAAGCTGTTACCCACGACGTCGTCCGCGTTCCATCGTTCTTGCAAGATAGAACATATAATGTCGCGGACTTTTTTTTTAGATCATTTAAAGAGGAATCATTCACTCATACATATTTTTTGGGTATCATGAACCGTTTTTGCAGCGAACGCCTCGGAAACCCATTATGATGAATAATTTTCCCGTTGTGTTCACATTTCCCACTGTATCCTCGCTTCTATTAGACAGCACAATATTTTATAGCGTTTCTCGATATTCTTTCTAACCAACATAAATATAACTTTTTAATACTAACCAGTAGTTTCTGAGCGCGTTCAAACGAACAAACTCTTCATCTTTATATATTAGTGAAGAAATCAGTGAGCCGCGAAATGAAAACTCACAATTTGCAAACTGCTTAATTCGTCAATAGAATACATGAGTTGGGAAGGTAGCGTCGATCTATCAACGTTACCGCCAGAAAAGATTTTCGTGAGAATTTTCCTCCGTTCCCTCCATCTTATGGAAATAGGATAAAGATGAATTACCTGGTCAATCCGGGAACATTATAACATCAAAGCGGTTGAGTTTATTTGGTATGTGGGCGTAAACGATGCCCGCAAATAGACTCGTTATTATTTAAAGGTAATGTAGGGAGATAAAAGAGCAATAGATTTATTTTTATATATTCAAAAGCTTTAAGTGTAAATTTAATGTTTAATTATATTCAATATTTAAAATCATATTCTGTACTGTACCGTACAACGATCATTGTGTAACATTATACTAGCTGTTTCAACGACTTCGTCCGCTAAGAAAAAGCCTAATGTAATTAATAAAAGCATTTTTAAAAATTAGCGCTACAGATGTTATACAAATTTTCGTAAACAAGTCTTTACCAATATATAAAGCCGAAGAGTTTGTTTCAACGCGCTATTCTCAAGAACTAACGGTTCGAATTGAAAAATTCTGTTAGTTAGTTGGTTAGAGGAATTATCGAGGAAGGCTATAGGCTAAAAAACCTCGCCCTGTGACTTATAAAGCGAAGATACAGCGAGATGTGTGAAAGAAATTGGAAATTTAAATGGTCTAAATAGAAGCCCGGGACGCTGTATGTCTATCTTTTGCGATTTACTTGCAAGAACGACGGGAAGTGACGCGACGTCGTGGATAACAGCTTAATTTTATAAAGATAAAGGGGTTGGCAAAAACGAATTTTGGATGCCCAAAATAACGAGTTTCTCGGATAAAGTCGCAGATAAAGCTAGTTTATACTAAATATAAGGGATATTTGACAGTTCACATTATGTAAAATATTTATAAGATACTCGCTCTGAGATTTATGGAGGTCCGTTTCATAGTTACAACTCACCGCGAGACCAATGTCTATACTATTATTATATACAATAATAATTAGTTTCAACAGGCCAATCTCAAGACCTACTGGTTCGACTTGAAAAATGATATTTGAGTTGTTTAGAGCATCTATCGAAGAAGGCTTTAGAATAAAACATGTCTCTGCGCCCAATACGAGCGAAAAAGCTGTAGGTGATGGAAGAAACGGGGAAAATGTTTCAGCTTTGAGAGTTTCTGCTGCGCTGCGTAAACGGTTCAAGATGCCCAAAAAAATATGTATGAAGGAATGATGTCTAAGAAACTCGCGACTGCATGTCTGGCTCTTAAGATTAACTTGTAAGAACGATGGGACGCGACCGACATTGTGGGTAACCGTTATAATACTTTATATGAGGACGAGATTTGCAAAAAGTAAACTTTGATACCCAATTGTTGATAACCAACGCGGACAAAGTCGCTAGCAAGTCTAAACTAAACGCGAAACGCCACCTCACCTCTATTAAATACTTATAAGAATATACCTGAGAATATCCAGTTCTGTGAAAAGCCTATTATAAGTTTAACATGCATGTTAAAGTAATTTATGGTATCAAAAGAGCAGAAAAATGTACATTTTTTTACCTTAGCACAACAATTATGTTTAATATAGGAATTCATGATGAGAGGTTATTTCGGTTCCAGTGAAGTATATCTTTATGTTCCCAACTACACAGTAAAATATATACAATGTGTACATAAACACATTTTGAAACATGGAAAAATAAATAGATGCCTACCACTTATTATTCGGCTATGTAAACTCAATTTAAGCGTTGTGTAACTTCTCGTTTGTTTGTTTCCACTCAAAAATATTTCAAGTATCACATCGTTATTGAAATTTGTGTTAACACAAGTTTTGCAATCCTATGGTAGGTATTATTTAAATAAAACTTTTTCGGTTCAAAACGTTCTATATATTGGTTATAAGCTGAGGTTTTGAACCTCTCTGCTCATGACCACGACTGTTGCAAAGCAACATTATGTAATATCAGGTTTTTAACAGCTACAAGTGTTTTATTTAACTGTGTGCTTGCTTACACTACAAACAATAAAAATACAGTAGGTAAGCGGGAATTAATTTAAAAATATCCTTATAGAAGTATGTAATAAGGTTTAAGCGTTACGGATTTAGATTTAAAAATTCGAAGTTTTATTTCAATGTACTCGTATTAAAAATCATGAGTATTTTAATATAGACATTCGTAAGAAGGATATATTTAAACAAAACACTTTAACGGTTTAAAACGCGATTATTACTTATACTTATTTGAAAATGATTTTTAACTTCGGCCGGACGTTTCGGATGCTTTGCAGCAGCCGTGGTCGCGGGGAGACGTCCCGAAACGTCGGGTCGAAGTTTAAAATCATTTTCAAATAAGTTTAACCAATATATCGCGTTTTAAACCGTTAATGTGTTTTATTTAAATGTGTACTACTCGTAAACTATAGACAGTATTTAAGAAGGATATATATTAAAATATATCTATATATATAATAATCTTATATTTGGCCAAACTTTTACGGATTCTTTTTGCCAGTCTTGATTCAAATAGAAGCACGGCCAGACTTTTATGTAACTAGACATATTATTCTCATATTCCTCAAGTCATAGAGCAACGGAAAATCGTTTACCCAAGGTTACCCTTAAGCCATTTTCCTGTTGTGCGAGAAAACGGATGCGGGTTTTCCTCACGCATATTTTCCATTCAATATTGTCGAATATTATGATTTTATGAGCATTTGTTTAGTCGTTTTGCGGTATTTATTATCGCAATTTGATATTATCTGTTTTACTTCCTAATGTGTTTGTCTTCCGCTGAAAGTGTATACATTTACTGCTTTGTCGTGAGTTATTAACTCAAAAGATGGCGCAATAACGAAGGATTTCTCTTCTGTCGTACAATAATGATTATTTTGTAAATCCACATTTAAAAAATTTAGGCGGCTTCGAATTTTATCTTCAAAGGATATAAATCGATAAAAATTGAACTTTCAGTTTAGAGTGATAAACGTATTGTCTAACTTCGGTCACCTAGAGTTATTTATAAATCTCACTAGCCGCCTGTCTCACTGAAATATTGAAAAACTTAATAAAAGTTGCAGTTTTGTTAATTATAGTTATTGATCCTGCAACTTGGCGAGTTTGTTCATAATATTTTTCAGCCCGTTCAAAGTTGACAACTCTGCTGTAAGAAGTTCCACGTTTCAGTAATAGTTACTTTAGTTTATACTTAACTTAAGCAACCGAGATACTTTAAGATATTCAATGAAATGACGCACTTTGTATAAATAACATCGCTTTTAAAATACGCGTGAAATGAAACAGACATATTTTTGCATCCGCACTTTTAATACTCGACTTTTATAACCCGCATCAGTGTTGATCCTCATTTTCCTGTTTTCCCGGATTTCAAACTTAACACCTCTTGCTCATGGGATAAACCAATTTTGACCGAATACTAATAAAATATGCTATGCAAAATACATCTTCAATTCGAAGTATTCGATAAATCTTTTATGGAAATAGGAAAGCTTATATTTATTCCTGTCTTAGGAAAATATCTCGTGCGAGACGGACACTGGTCTAGATTTGAGCATTGTGTAAATAAAACAGCTCGAATCTTATGGATATTTTGTGTACAGTATGCCATACATGTATTTTATGTATAGAAATGGATAATAGAAATATTATCGTAAATGAACTTCGGCTGAACAGCCCGAAAAACAATGACATGCTAAGACTCGTTTCTTTTATTTTTTATCTACTGTACAATACATTATAAATAAAGGTAAGCAATAGAAATTTCAAACATGCCAAAACTTCCGAAGCCAAGCCGTAATAAAACTTTTCGAATGTTCATTCCGAACGTCGTAAACATGAAAATGTAACAAAAAGTGATGGAGCAACAAATTTCAATATAAAACCGTCTAAACATATTTCACTTAGTGCTAACCCCGATTTGCGTATCGTACAGTATCTAATAAAATGGAGAACAACGCGTGTTTT